CGAGTCCATGCCACTTCCTCGGGTGGTTGCACAGGTCGGTGATGAAGGGGAAGGTGCTCCTTGGTGATATAGCACGTCCTCTGCCGGTTTGAAGCGTGTGTTTGAGCGCGGAACAGTCGAGGACCAATCGTCTGATGACGGGGAGGAAGAGAGAGACTATGATTACGAACCTTGTGACAAGCTCCCTGGGGACCATGATACCTGGGAGAATGACAGACTCTTCTTCTTCGGGAAGCATCACCGGTTCACGCCGGAGGATGTCTGGGGCCACAACGTCGTCTGGYACCCAAGGATATTCCAACCTGCTGTAAAGACTGGAAAGTGGGTTATGGCAATGAAGGAAGCCAATGGCAAGTAGAGTGGCATGAACAGACTGGGAGCGGGTCCATTTAAGAAAAAGGCGAGAGATGCTCTGGTGGAGCATTTGAGTGTTATGAACCCCGAAAGGAGCCTCTCGGACGTCAGTGCGTATGCAGACCAGAAGCTCCACAAGATGTACGATGACAAAATGTTGGAGTTTCGAGCGTCTTTCTACACACTCGAAACGACACCCTCTCGTAGCATTGATTGGCGCATGCCGCAACCTCTGTCGGGCGGTCAGCATCCGGGAAGCGGTGGAGGAGGAGACGAAGGAGACGGCGGAGGTGACGGAGGAGACGRCTCACAATTTGCCGGAAAGGGGTCAGGCGAAACATCGTCGGAAGAAAAGGCGTCCAGCGGAAAGGGGTCAGGAGGAAAGGGGTCGGGCGGAAAGGGATCGGGCGGGAAGGGGTTGGGAGGAAAGGGGTCGGGCGGAAGTGTAGAACGTCCGGGAGTCCCGAGTATAGGGAAACTGACAGCCACTGCGTAGGGAGTCGAGATTCCGACATGCGAGACGTGGCCACCCTGAGGTCTAATCAAGTGCGAGTAGATTCGCACTTTTCTGCGAGGACTTTGTTTCCTGATGCCGAGRAGAGTCCGTCTCGCCGTGCGCAGCAGAGGTCTCCTGTGCACAACACCTTGCTCCTGGAAGAGGGCGGACGTCTGCAGCATACGGCAGCATCTCCTGAGCGGCGAAACCATTCCTTGATAGGAACTGCGTCTTCGTTTTGTCTGGAGGCCGGGATGCTTGCATTGCGACGGAGCGAAGGTGCGACCGTCAGCTCCCTCAGCTCCGGCGAGCGCCACAAACCCCGAATAGATTCAGATTTGTTGACGTCGCCTTAGAGGCCTTCCGCCAGAAGTGCTCCTCACGCTACAGTTCCGCAGGGCCAAGAAAATGTGACGTCCTACCCCCCGCATCTTCAGTTGGGCACAGGGTTCCCCTGCTCACATCCGTTCTCATATGTTGAGACTCGAGACTGGCAGTCTCGCAAAGTGTTGGAGGGGCCCGCTGCAGGAGTGTTGGAGACCGGGGGTGGCGAGTATGAACGTCATGTTTCGGAGGGTGTATCCGTCGACGTTGAGAGCAAGAGTACAACGGCTCCTGGGGAAGAGGAGCTCTCTCCGGGAGCGCGTGATGTATAGCGGGAAGAGGAGACTCAACGCTGGCAGTCTCGCAAAGTGTTGGAGACCGGGTTAGCGAGTATGAACGTCATGCTTCGGAGGGTGCGTCCGTGGACTCTGACAGCAAGCGTACAGTAGCTCCGGGGGAAACGGATGCTCTGCAGCGGGAAGAGGAGACTCAACACTAGCCGACTCGCGAAGTGCTGAAGGGGCTCGGCGCATGAGTGCTGGTGACCGGGACGTCCGAAGAGGTTCTGCACAGTCGGTCRACCGTGGCCACGATGCGAGAGGGTGTCGTTAACCAGATGGATCCAGAGCAGAAAGATCATGATTCTTCGCCCGCTCGCTGCGGTGAAGAACAAGGTGATCGGGCGTCTGTCCTCAGTACCGGTCGGGAAATTGCACTTCATAAAGTCATCGACTTGGGTAACGACTCGGCTGCCACCGAGCTGGTTAGCGACTCAGGCGTGGCCGAGGTGCAGAAC